AGCGGACACAGGTGACTTAGATAGTGAGATTCAGCTCTGCTGTGGGACTTCTGAGTTGTGCTGTAAAAGGGATGAGACCTTCGGGGACCTTGGGGCTGGGTAAATATGTTTTGCGTTTGGGACAGACGTGCATCTTTGTGGGGGCCCAAGGGCAGACTGGGTAAGCAGAATGTCCTGTCCCAAAGGTGTCCAGGTCCTAATGCCTGGAGCCCGGGACCATGTTACCTTACACGGCAAAAGGGGCTTTGCACATGTGATTAGATAAAGGGCCTTGAGATGAAGAGATTATCCTGGTGGGCCTAATCTTATCACAAGAGTCCTTAAAAGCAGAGAAATTTCTTGAACAGTAAGCAGGATGCATGAGGCATGAGGCAGAGTGGGAGGTCAGAGAGACAACCACATGACTTTTGTTCACCATGTGTGTCCCCAGAGCCTGGAACCCAACAGGTTCTCAGGAAGTGCTTAGTGACAGAAAGACGAGTGAAGTGAACACTGAGCACCTGCTAAGACTGCATGGATCCCATAACAGCCACGAAGACAAGTTACCCTCTGACTCCAAGCCATCCCTTTTCTACAGATGACAGAAATAAGTCTCAGAGAGGTGAAGTGACCCACCCAAGGTCACCCAGTTAATAAACAGCAGGGCTGAGATTCAAAAATCAGAACCCATCTGGTTGCCAAACCCTACACCACCCCAGCCCCCACCCCATTAGGACTTGGCCATAATGGGTGAAACCCCCCGGGGTGGATAGCCGTGAAGCCTCTCGTAGCCCGTTTTGTTCCTTTGCTTCCTTCCGCGGCTTTCCATTCTGGTCACTGGCTGTCAGCCCATTTGTGATGGAATGTGCCCAGGACAGACCAGCAGGGGGCGCCAGTACCCAAGCGTATAGACCTGGAGTTCCCAGAGGGTCTGAGGAGTTTCTCAGAATGAAGGTCCTGGCGGCCTCCCCCACAGCGCGGGACACCAACTGGCTGGAAACCCATCTCTGCTCCAGCCTGTGGGTCAGATGTCCCTGGGCAAAGGGCTTCATCTCCTTGGCGGCAGTCCTCCCGGAGGAGGGGGAAAGAACCTCCCAGGGGCCTTGACACAGTAATATGCAGTAACAGGGGAAAGCAGTCCCTGGCTTGTAACTCTTGGTTGAATTTGCATTCTTTATCAAGAGATGTTGAATGATTCTCACAGGACTGTAATTTCAAATTCTGCCCAAATCACATGAATCTTTTATTTTGACTCAGCTGTCTCTTTCCTTTTCCTCCAGCCTTTTATGTTTTTACCCAGTCTTCCCTAGCTTTACTTCAGAATGCTCTCAAACATTCTGGCAAGCGCCCTCAGGATGCTTATAAACTCCCGGGGATGCTTGATTCAAAACGTCCTCTTACACAGGGCCTGTGAGGGGTCTCCTTTCACTTGAAATCTCTTGCACGCCGAGTGTAAACTCAAGAACATCATGCCTTTGTGTGTGTATTTCCTCTGCCTTTCTATCTAAAAACCAGCCACTCACAGAACATTTACTGACTGCCCGTGTGTGTTAGGCACAGACAGAGATCTGTAAGTAAGACATTGTCACATTACTGGCGGCCCCTCCGATGGGGACAAAGATACTAGCACGTTTCAGAATAATTTATGTGCTTGTCTACAGATCCACACTGAGAGGGGCCATCTAATCCGGTTCCTGTGACCCTTCAAGATTCCACCCACTTCACAAACCGGCCTCCAAGCCCGAGGTCAGCCTGGCAAGGGCAGGACCACCTGGAGTGGCTAAGCCTCTTGCTCATCCTCAGTGGGCAGGGGCCCCTGAGGGTCGTCCTTTGCACGCGGGCTCCAAGATGTCTGCTAGATGTAGGTCACTATGGCCGAAGATTCGTGTTTCCCCCTTATCCTTACGCACAGGCAGCTGCCCAGTGAGTCTGTACTATGGCCTGAGGTTTAGCAACACTGGCCCCAGTCCGTTTGGTGGCCCAACAGATCTCAGGGCCGTGGTTCCCTGGGGTTTGAAGATGACTCTGTCCAGACTGTCTTCCAGATTCTTTTCCCCTTCATCATTAAATCATACACAAACAGGCCAGGGGACAAAACACCCGACTATTTCACGTGGTCATTCCTTCTTCCTGCTTCACCTGATGCATAAGAATTTTGCGGTAAAACTTCAGCTTTACAAGAATATGCAACAGAAAGAATTAGGGAACTCAGTGATCCAAGACCAGCTAAATGAGGGTTCTTTCTTTTCTTTTTTTCTTCTAATGTAAAGCAGTTCCAAGAAAAGTGAAGTCACGGCCCAGGGTGCTTATTTTCAGTTCTTAGAAAAGAGCCAATTTCAAAAGGGAAGCTTTGCAGCCAGAGCACAGAGCTGGCCCTTGTCTAGAGAGGGGTGCTTGCTGATAAACCAACTTTGATTTGGCATCAGAACACTACAACCCCCGCCTGAGATGCGTTTTCATTTAGTGATGTCAAGGAGGAAACGCAAGCCGAAACAGTGAGAGTTATTAATATTCAGGGAAACCACAACAGCTCAGCTAACAGCTAACATGCTGAGGTGGCACGCGTCCAGCTCGGAGCCACTGGGAGCCGTCGGCAGTCTGCGGGGACTGTCGGAAAAATTCGGGGCACCCTCATCTTCCCACCTCCCACACGCCTGAGATAGTTCCCTGCCCAGGCGACAATATCCACCCCATCAGCGATTTTCAGTCAGGCATTCGTTACCAGAAGTTAGGTGAGGACAAAGTGGGCAGGATATGGTTCTTGGCAGCCTGCGTCGGTCTTCGAGCAGAAGAGCAGGCTTCAGATAAGGGAATCTCAGTAAGTCCGATTTTGGTTTAAGGTGTCCGGGAGTCTACCCCACACTCAGCTCCAGGGCTACTATTGGGAAACCGTAATAATTTTGGAATAAAGTGTGGACCTAAGAATCCAATAACAGGGATTCCACGGAGTATAACAAAATTAAGTGTCAATGTAATCAAAAACAACTGGTCAACTGTCCCTGCCACGAGGAGCCTAAGGAGACACGATGATTTCATGTCACGGGGTATCTTGGCTGGGGTCCTGGAACCAAAAAAGGACATGAGAAAAAATACTAAGAAATCTGAATAAAGAATAATAGACTGTGGTTCATATCAATGTCTCATTGCTGGTTCACCAATTGTAGCAAATGTTCCCTATTCATTAAGATGGTAATAAGAAGGGAAACTGAGTGTAAGCATATAGGAACCCTTCGGACCCTCTTTGCAATTTTTCTGTGGCTCTCAAACTATTCTAAATATATATATATATATATTTTTTTTTAAGAGACAACTGATGGATGTGAGTATGAACTTACTCCTAGCAATAATTATTTGGTGTCTACCAAGTGCCAGGAACATGCACACACGTCTTCACTTAATCCTCACACTGGTGCTATGAGCTCGGTATAATCTGCATTTTATAGACAAGGAAATAAAAGCACAGAGAAGGTCGGCAACTTGCTTATGGTCACACAGCAACTTTAACAACAGGTGAAGGGCTCACAGAGCACCCGATGAAGTTCAGCAACATTGCCTGAAAATCTCCAAACTCTGCACATAAACCAGCTCGAGACAAGCTTCAAGCAGTCAACAGACCCAGATCGGTAATAAAAAGTGTGCACTTTCCAGTTTCCCCACCTTCAAAAGAAAATGCTAGAGTTTGAAAATAGAACACACCCACAACACTGACACCACCGAATGCTGGGGAGGCTGTAGGACAGGAACTCTCAGACACTGTTGATGGGGAAGGCAAAAGGGTGCGGTGCTTGGGAAGTCAGTGCTGCAGACTGTAGGTCCCCCCAAAAGGGCTACAGACTGCCCCCTCAAGTCATATGTTGAAACCCGACTCCCAGTGTGATAGTATGTGGAGATGGGGCCTTTAGGAGGTGAATGGGATTAATGCCTTTTTAAGAATCCCCAGGGAGCAACCTTGCCCCCTTCCACCATGTGAGGACACAGTGAGAGGACAGCCATTTGTGAGAAAGAAAGCGGCATCTTGAATCTGCCAGCACCTTGACCGTGGACTTCTCAGCCTCCAGCATGGTGAAAAGTACGTTTCCGATGTTTTTAAGCCCCTCTTCCCCACCCCCCACTCACTCACACTCTGTTCTATGGTGCTTTGTTACAGCAGCCTGAACGGACTGAGACAGACAGTCTGGCAGTTTCCTACAAGGCTAGACATAGGCTGACCATATACCCACTAATCGTGCTCCCGGGCATTTACCCCAGTACGTTGAAAACTTATATCCACACAAAACCTGCACACGAATGTTTACAGCAGCCCCATTAATAACGGCTAAAAACTGGAATCCAATGGATGTCCTTTAGTAAGTGAGTGGATAAACAGACTATGGTACATCCAGACAGTGGAGTATTGGGATAAAGAGAAATGAGCTACCAAGTTATAACTACATGGGGGAACCTTAAATGCATATTGCTGGATGAAAGAAGCCGGTCTGAAAAGGCTACAGACTGTGATTCCAACCACATGACCTTCTGGAAAAGGCAAACTATGGAGACAGTAGAAAAATCAGTAGTTGCCAGGGGAGGCAAGGATGACTAGGTGGAGCACAGAGGATTTTTTAGGGCAACAAAACTATTCTGTATGATATTGTAATGGGGAATACATGATATTATGCCTTTGTGAAACCCATAGAACTCTATGTACATCGCGAAGAGTGACCCCTAAGGTAAACTATGGACTTCAGTTAACAATGTATCAGTGCTGCTGGGTCATCAGTTGTAACAAATGTACCACAGCAAGGCGAGATGTTAATAACAGAGGAAACCGAGGGAGGGCGCCTATCCTGTATCCGAACTCCATACCACCTGCTCTTTTTTTTCCCCATAAATCTGAGCTGTCTAAAAAAATAAAATCTGTTTTTTTTTTAAAAAACACAGCATAAAACAATTAACAATTAGTAGTAGAGATCAATAAAACAATTTATTAGTGGTAGAGATCAGTAATCTAGCAAAACTCTCCAGCGATCTGGAACCTAACCTGACCCCCACCTGAGATTTACAATCTAAGGAAAAATGAAGGTTGGGTAAGAAGCAGAGAGCAGCGGCCCCACATTCAGTGCAATCACAGCTAGACGGCATTCTGTACCAAAAACAACGTACAGGCTGATTCCGGAGGTCGCTCCCTTGCAGTGTCTTAACACGAGTGATGAGACAGAAGTTTAATTAATGCCTAGAAGCCGTTGTTCATCTTGATTTTCAGTTTCAACGAGAAATTCTGAAAGTGTTTCAACATCCCCAAGTGAAGGAAGAATGGAACGGCAGGCATGTCCATTTCAGCGGGAAACGGACCTTCAAGGGCTGAGTGGCGTCTGAAACAGAAAGGGGGCTGTCTCTGAGGGGCGCTGTGCCTGCAGTTAGAAGATGCCATTCGACTTGCAAACTGAATATGGAAGTTGTTGATGGAGAAGACTCGAGCCATGAGATCATTCCTTTTTCACACAGTTGTTTTCCTGCCCGTAACCACATTTTAGTCTCTGCAGGCAATGACTGAGATTCAAATTTTGCATCGTAAAATAGGGTCGCGGTAGTAACGGAAAAAGTATCATCACTTGTCAAACCTGGAAAATGCAACGTGAGATTTCTGTGTGCTTTAGAGAGGGAATTAACACACATAAGACAAAAAACAAAGAACAAAAAAACGGAGGGAGTGTGTGGGGAGGAGAGAGAGCAAAACAAAACATCTGCTTTTCATCAGCAAATAGTCAAAGCAAGGGGCGGCAGGGGCTGAGTTCACTGGAGGGTCCCAGCATTTAGAAATCCTACATCAGGGCTCCTTGGAGCAAAGCTCTCTGATCAACTTTTGAGAAATATATATTGAGTAATGTCCATGAAATCCACAGGGTGTAAGAACCTAAGTTGCTTCACAATGTTGATGTTTTTATCGAGGGCTCCAGCATCATCTAAGGAATATTCCGGTGTAGATCTTCCACTTCCAGTTCCCACATGCTTTCATGGAGAGGGTTATCGGAGAGGTCTGTCATCTTCACAGCCTGGAGGCATGGCTCAGGGCTGCAGGCCTGAATCACTCCCATCACCATCACATACTTTCCTAGAAGAAGAAAAGCCCAGTAGTAAAGTTCACATTGATAGAGAAAATAAAAACAAAAACAAAACAGAACCCAGTCCTTGAGAGGGCTGAACTTTATCAGAGAGGCAAACTGGAGACCGAAAAATGTGGAGCATAGATATCAAAATGCCAAGTGAGTTCCACATTGAACCTGGAGGATGACATCTGCATCTTCTTTGGTTTCTGGTGTTAAAATGTTAGAACAAAAATCACCACAGGATGCCGTACAAAGCTACATGTCCAAGGAATGGAAGAGACTCACATCAAAGGATGAGTTTGTAATTAGACAGACTGCTCTAAGGCAGGGCCAGAAAACCCCAGCTTTTCTCTTCTTGTTCCTTGCTCAATGTCAGTGTCTGTGACTGGTTTCTGTGCACAGGACTGGTCCTCTTCCTGCAAAGACAACACCCTGACAGCCCCAAAGCAAATCCAATTTTCCCTTCATGTTGCCAAAAGAGCTGGGCAGGCGGGAGCTGCCCTATGCCACCCTGCTGTTCCAACTGCCTGGGACTGATCCCTGCCACCTCTTGCCACCAGCTAGGCACACGCAAGCAAATCAACAAGAGGGCAGGCTGCCATCACAGTGATCTAATGAAATATTGACCACGACTCTCTTCCCATTCCCTTAGGGAAGTGGCTCTCCTTGAAAGCAAAACTTGGCCAGTCTTAACCACACAAAACTCAATTGTGTAAAAAACCCCCAAACACAGCAGGAAGAGCAGGCACGCTGCCAGCCCCCACTGCATGCCCCTGTGAGGCTGCGTTAATCATACTGCTTCCAACAGCAAGGCTGGGTTTGCCCTCGGGCCCTGGGGCGCTGACTGAAGGAAGTCAGGCCAGCCGACACCATACCCTCTGGTCTTCAATGTCTGGCACTATGTACTTAGGTTTTCCTGAACCCATCTCTACATTCTACCTGGGCAAGTAACATGGGGTTCCTCAGGTTAGGTTAGGTTAGGTCTAAAAATACACGTGCCACACCCAGTGAATGGCCCTAACCTGCTGGTGGAGATGGAACCCTCAGAAAATGACTGAAGACCCAGGAAAGGAAGAACAAGCCCACGGAGATCCCAGCAGGAGCGGTAAACAGGAGATCCACACGCAATCCACACACAGGAAATCCACACACACGACAGCGCATAACACAACTAGACAGATGAACTCAAAGGCCTGAGCTCTTTCCTCCTGAGATTAGACAGTCTGGTTACTAGTCCTGTTCATTTTACCCACACCCTCCCCTCTCCACTGTCTCCCCTTCTCCTTCCCCGCCACGGCCCTCCCTTCCATCAGGCCTTCACCCTCTGACCCAGCAGGCCTGGATTATCTGTCCCTCTTCTGCGCCCAAGGCTCCCTGTGTTCAAGCCCAAGCCTACGACATTATTTTGTTTTAGTGGCCTGCTTACTATTCTGCCTCCCTACCTGAAGGTAGTAACCAATTTGTCAGTCAGACCTTGGTATTAAGCAGCAAGAAGAAATGGCAAAAGACCCCAGCCTGCAGGCATTCAGGCCAGTGGGTGAATCAGATGGGTTCACCAACACAGAATGCCCACTAAGGATACCTACTGGTGCCAACCATATGGGAGCTCCCCCTACTCCCCACAGCCTGCCTTCTAAGAGCACTGAGGGGTGAGATCCCAAACAGCAAGGGACCACATCTATGCCAAGGGTCGGCAAACTTTTTCTGTAAAGAGCCAGAGACTAAATACTTCAGGCTTTGCAGGCCATAGGGTTTCTGTCTCAACTATTCAAGTCTGGCTGTAGTGGGAAACAGCCCTAGACAGTACCTAAATGACCATGTTCCAATAAAACTACTTATGGACACTGATACTGAATTTCATAAACTTTTTAAAAAAATCATTTTTATGGAGGGGGGAGGTAATTAGGTTTTAGGTATTTAGGTAATTAGTTATTGATTGATTGATTTTATCATTTTCATGGAGGTACTGGGGACTAAACCCAGGACCTCGTGCATGCTGAGCACGCTCTACTACTGAGCGATATCCTCCCACCATAAAATTTTCACATGTCATGAAATTGTCTTGATTTTTTTCAACCATTTGAAAATGTAAAAAACATTTTTAGCTCACGAGCCATGGAAAAAGGGCTGGCAGCCTGTAGTTTGCAGACTTTGTAGTAGACTAACATTGCAATGGAGGGCAGAGAGAGGGAGGCTGAAAGGATGGGGCAAGGGTGCGGTGAGAAGGGAGCAGGAGCATTGCATAGTAAAAAACAAAAGTCACAAATTTTGGAACCCTCACTGTGAGCCAGGAGCTGTGTTAAAGCTATTTTTAAAAAAATGTATTGAATCCACACCACAGGCAGGAATTATTGGTCCCTTCAGAAAGAGGCAGGACAGGTCCAGAAAGGTTAAGAAAAGTGCTCCACAGAGCTCAGCCGGATGGAGCCAGTGCCAGGAATTCAACCTAACCCTAAGAATAGTTGTCAGAAAGACAAAGTCCCCACCCTGCTGCAGTCTGGCCCAGGGCTTCTCAAAGTGTGGCCTCCAGGCCAGCAGCACCAGCAGCCCCTGGAAGCTGGTTAGAGATGCAAATTCTCAGCCCCACCCAGACAAACAGACAGAAACTTTGAGGCTGTGGCCCAGCAGTGTGAGTTTTAACCAGCCCTTAGTGTAAGTCTGATACAGGCTCAAGTCTGAACACTATTGTTTTAAAAGGAAACAGAATGAACTACAGCCTAAGGCAATTCCATGAAAGAGGGGTACAGCAGGGCTCCCCATTCCCAGGGATCAGGGAGAGCTCGTCTAAGGAAGGTATATTTGAATCCAGACGGTAAGAATGAACAAAAATTTCCCACGGTATTTTCCAAAACTCGATGGGGGAAAAAGTCACCCGTGGGGACGGGGGTTTGTTACAAATACAGAAGTTGGTGGTCCCTTCCCCGGAGATTCCAACTGGGAGGGCTGGTGGTGGTAGGAATCTGTGTATTTCGAACGGCTGCAGGTAATGCTTATCATCGGATCATCTTGGGTGGCGCTTGACTGGAGAGGGGACAGGAAGGAAGGGTATCCAGGCGGGGGGCCAGCTGGGCAAAGACTGGGAGGTGGGACTGCCAGGCCCCGCCTTCGGGCGGTACAAACCGAGGGTCTGCCTCGGATATGAATCTGGCCGTTACCTGGGACGAGGCAGGGCCGCCCGCGCGGCACGCGCTCTAGGCCGCGCACGGAGAAGGCCCCGCTAGGATCCCGCAGCCGCGCCTCGCCGCTGCCCGCCGCCACCACCGTGCCCTGCATCCACACGGCCGTCAGCTCCAGCGGCCCACGGCCCGCGGCCGCCCGCGACAGCTGCCACGAGCCCGGGCTGCCCTCCGCTTCGCGCCGCAGCTGCTCCGCCAGCACCTTGAGCGGCGGCGACCGCGGGAGCCTTACGGCCGCAGGGCCGCCGCCGGAAATCGAGTCCGCGGGAGATGCAGCCGCCGCCGCCGCCGCCGCCGCCGCCGCCGCCATTCTGCCCGGCATTCCCTTTCCCGCCAACTTTGATCTGCGAGGCTCGGCCTGCGACCACCAATCAGGGACGCGCTGGCGGAGCCGGCCAATGGTCAGCGTCGGGAGGCGGGACCGCTGATGAGAGCGGCCCCTCCCATTCTCTAGGAGTGCGCATGCGTACGTAAAGTAAATAAACGCCCCCAAGCTAGGAATGAATGGATGAAATGAATTAAAAGAGAACAAATGAAGGAGGGAGGTAAAGAACTCCCATTTCCACGCACCTCAAAATTTGGCGTGCACGCAAATCACCTGGAGAATGTGAGTATTCATCTTTACATCGTCTTGCATTGTACGGTTCTCTGAAGCTAATAAATACTAGAAAATACTGAAATGAATAGTAGTATTGATAAGCCCATGTTTATTGGGAGTGATCAAGAATCGAGTCGAGAGATAAGGCTGGAAAGAGTGACAGGGACAGCCAATAAAACTGATTTCTTTTATTACTATTTTTATTTATTACATTTTAATAACAAAATAACTTAAAAGTTCATAAAATACATTAGTATATTTTTCAGAAAAGACATACACATTCATTGTAGAAAACTTGGAGAAGGAAATCTAGAATAAGAAAAAAATGGTAAAAATCACTTGGATATCAACTCACTTGTTAACGTTTGGGTATATTAGTGTCCAAGTTTCAAAATATATATACATGTATGTGTGTTTTATACACAAATACTGTTTTGTATATTGCTTTCACTTATAATAAACATCTTTTCATATCAGCAACTACCTGCTTACTATTGAATGACTGCACAAGATTTAATTTGTCTCATCACCTATTTAACCAGTATACTAGAGGTGGGTGGGCATTAGGCTATTTCCAGTTTTTCACCTTATAAATCACTACTGTGAACTTACATTTAGAGCTAAATCTTTGTGCATATGTTTCAGATAAATTTCTAGAAATGGAATTGCCCCTTAAAAATTGCATGTCTCTAATCTGTAAAATCCACAAATCCTAAACCAAGCAGTTCTTTTAGTCAAGACCAGTCTCGAGGAGACTTTGTACTCCCAGGGCCTCCTGTAGTATGAGGCTTACTGAAGGTATTCAGCAAGAGCTCAATTTCTATAAAACAGATAAGACATACTGAGCCCGGCTCTGTCCTAAAAGCTTTGTAGGGAGTGTCCCATGTACCCCTACACCCTATAAAAAATGTTCTACAAAGATGGGGAAACTAGGCTCACAGAAGCTAGGTGGCTTGCCCATGGCCTCTCTGGCAGTAGCTTCTGTGGAGTCCTGGCCTCTATGCCTCAACCCTAACCTATAGAGTAACCAGTCCTAGCTTGAAAAGGAAGTAGGGATTTTAACCAAGAGAGAATCCCACTCCTTCAAGCCTGCTGGGTACCCACTGGCCTTCCCCAAGTCACCCGAAGGCCAGGGAAGTGATGGAGTAAAGGCCAAGGAATTACCCACCATTCTCTTGGCCTTCAAATTTGCACATGCGTTCTCTCGTACTCTACAAACACACACCCCTCAAGCTGTGCTGCTGGCAGACTGATCTTTCCAAAACACAAGCCTGGGGGTGGGGAGGGGTAAATTGGAAGTTTGAAATGTGCAGATACTAACTACTGTATATAAAATAGATAAACAACAAGGCCCTGTTCGGGGGGAGGGTATAGCTCAAGTGGTAGAGTGCATGCTTAGCATACATAGGGTCCTGAGTTCAATCCCCAGTACCTCCTTTAAAAATAAATAAATAAACCTAATTACCTCTGCCCACCAAAAAAAAAAAAAAAAGTCCTACTAGGGAACTATATTCAACCTTGTAATGGCCTATAATGAAAAAGATCATATGCCTATAAATGAATCATTATGCTGTACACCAGAAATTAGCACAGCATTGTAAATAGGCTGTACATCAATTAAATAAACAAACACAAATCTAAACATATCAGTGCTTGGTTTATAACCCCCTGATGGTGCAATCCATACACTTGGAATGTAAGCATTCCAGGCAGAAGGAACCATATGAGGAAGGCCCAGAGAGGAGAGAGAGGACAGAAGGCATTCAGCAAATTGCTGGCATTTCAGAATGGTGGGGACAGAGTACAAACAGAGGAGTGGTGATAGATGAGGCTGTACCTACATAACCTCATTTCTTATCCCCGTTTGACAGGTGTGAAACTGAGGTTCAGGCCAATGACAAGCCTAGGCCACACGGCTAGTGAGCGGTGGAGCCAGGACTCAACCCAAGTCCATCTGACCCCAAACTTCATGTTCCTTGAACCACACCTTCCATCTCACTGTCCACACTATCGCCCACCTCCCCATCAAAGATGGCTCCATACCTTTGCTCATGCTGTTCTCTGCCCCCAGTGCCTTCCCCCAGTCCCTCCCAGCTGAAACCTACCTCAGTCACCACGGGCCTGCCACCGCCAAGACCCCCTCTCTTCAAGGAGCCATTCTAGAGCCCACAACTGGAGTTAAACTCTCTCTTCCAGACCAAGTGGCCGACACCCCTAATCTAGGGTTTTTCAGCCTCAGCCCTATTGACCTTTGGGGCTGGGAAATTCTGTGTTGAGGAAGCTGTCCTCTGTGCATTGTGGGATGTGCATCCCTGGCCTCCACCCACTAGATGTCAGTAGCGCTCTCAAGGTGGCAACCAAAAGTGGCTTCAGACATTGCCAATGTCCCCTGGAGGATGTAATCACCCCCTGCTGAGAGCCACTGTCATTATCTACATACTCATCACATTCTGTCTTTAACCATCAATACTTGAGTCTGAGTCAGCCTCACCAGCAGACCAGGGGTCCAAACTACCATGCCAGGCAGCCAGGCAGGTAACCCTGGTGTAGCAGGGACACACTGGCTTTCGTGTACCCGCATCAAGGAGCCAGTCACACTCAGCCAATGGTTACCCCATGGGAATGTGGGCCCAGTGTTTCCAGATCTGATTTTTTAAGACATTTTGACCTATAACCTCCATATTTTAAAACATGTTGGCAATGGATTCAATCCTCAGATCAATCAATAAATGAAGGCTGTGTGTCCCTGAAAGCAGCCTGTGGGTGACCTTGGCCCACGGGCAGCCAGTCAGCAAGTGTGGTCCCTAGAATGCGAGCTCTTGTCCCGGTGCCTGAGCAGCTTGTGTGATACTTAATGGGAAGCACCTCGGTACCTTCTGCAAAATATCCAGGAAGCTGCGTGTTTTGCCAGCTCCGGGAGTTGCAAAATTGGCGTCTTAAATGACTGTCGTGAGCAGACAACTGGGGTCTGTCTTCACACGATGGGTGAGCCTCCCCTCTGGAGCATCATCCCCCTTCCCACCTGCCCCCCTTACCTGGGTTGGAAGCAGCCTTGTGCAGGCCTTCCTGGGCCCCAGCTTCCAAGTGAGATCAAAGGCCCTTGGAAGGGGCTTTCCTGCCACTGAGGGCAAAGGTAAGCCCAGGGGAATTCAGGGCCTTGGCCTCGCACTCAACCGTCCTATTCACCAGTTCTCGGGCAGATCAGGCCAAAAACGCTCCTGGTTGCCAAGAACAAAGACCAAACCCTAGTGGCTAAGAAAAGGGGTTTGTTCTGGGAGACTGTCCATGCAGTAGCATCTTCAAAATGGCAAACGCTGTCATTAGCCGAGCGCTTACTACATACTAAGCATCATACCAGGTGTTTCATGTGCAGGGTCTGCAACTCCTCAGAGCAACCCTATGACATAAGTGCTTTTCTTAAGCCCATTTTATAGGTGGAGAAACTGAGGCTTGGAGAGATGGTGTGATCTGCCCAAGACCACACAGCTGGTGAGATATGGTAAGGCCAGGGATTCCAATCCTTTGATGTTGGCTCTTCCTATCATTATGAAGCAGAATTCACCAAGCAATGGATTGTTCACCCACTAATATGGAATGTGAGCTGGGTTTAGACCATCGTGAGACAGGTTAGTTTTACCCCACTGACGATGTGTTGTTGCCATGGTAATCCTGCTCAGTAGGAGGAACTGCAGGTTCCAACATTTGGTGTATGTGCTTGGCTGAGGAGCCAATGGGGCCAAGCCACCATTTGTGGGAATCCTGAATCCTGCCCAGGTGGAGCAGTAGGACAGAGCTGCAGGACCCGGCTCCACTGGCCTCGGATAACTGGTCCCCTGCCGACCGAGGCTGGCAGGCCACTGTGCATGTGCTGGATGGCACAGTAAGCCCTGTTGCGTATCAGGACCCGGGGACACGGAGGTCCTGCTCCCATCTTTGAATTAATCAGCACCCCAGGTAAGGTGGGCTCTTACCCACTAACCTGGGTCATCACCAGGATGAATTCCTGGGGAAATGTTTTCAAGTACAGGTTCGATCAAAAAGACGTATCCTTCAGCCATAAAAAAGAATAAAATAATGCCATCTGCAGCAACATGGGTGGACCTGAAGATTATCATACCAAGTGAGGTAAGTCAGAGAAAGAAGAACACCATCTGATATCATTTATATGTGGAATCTAAAAAAAAGAAGGACACAAATGAACTTATTTACAAAACAAGAGACTCACAGACACAGAAAACAAACGTATACTTATGGGGGGGAAGAGAGTGGGGAGGGAAGAACTGAGATTTGTAGATACTAACTACTATATATAAAATAGATAAACAATGAGGTCATACTGCATAGCACAGGGAACTATATTCAATACCTTTAATGGCCTGTAATGAAAAAGAATACGAAAAGGAATATAGATATGTATGTATAAAGGAATCACTATGCTGTATACCAGAAATTGTCACATTGTAAATCGACTATACTTCAGTTTAAAAAAAGACACATCTTGAACTTTGGTTAACAAAATGCAGGATGAATTATGAGTGGGTGTGCTTTGAAGGTCAACAAAAAGTAAAGTAGATTCATGGTGGAGGGAGGGGAGGACAGGAGACCAGATGTGTGATAAGGTGAGTAAACTTCATTGTAGAATCTAAGTGGTGGATGCATGGAGAGGCAGTGCACAGTTCTGTTAATAATATAATGATGAAGGATGATTCTAGGTTCCAGGGCCGCACCACAGCCTCCCCACATAG